CAAAACCCCAAAACCCCAAAACCCCAAAACCCCAAAACCCCAAAACCCCATTATGAAATGATTATGATTTGAATCGAAATATAATAAAAATAGAAGAATAAATATGAATCTAACTAACTACAATCCCAACTAAGATCTTGGCATCACCAACTAGGCTGGAGTTTCTGGATTAAGAACCTTCAACGGAGAAGATCTCTGTATTTATTTACATTTATTAAATTGTGCATAGTGGCTGATAAGAGACTATCACTTTAGAGACAGCAATAAAGAGATTGGTTGATGCAGTAGATCCAAGCTAATGATAGAATGAGAGGTCAAGCAAGCTTCGATAAAGAGTATGTTTTAATAACTGTTAGTATTTACCTACCTTTCATTTAGGCTTTATGACAGATAAACTTTGGAGTTGAATGAGTTATTAAGATAAGCTTAAGATGAGCATGATTCTAACCGTAAAGCAATGCTAAAAGCTTAACAAGAAGAAAATCTCTTATTGGTATTTAATTCTCTCATAATAATTTTCGAGCGTTATAGGCTAAGCAAAAGAGAGATACTGATTTGAAGCAAAAGTCAGATTGGCTGTACTAAGAGAACTATGAAGTAGATTATACTCTTAACAATGATTTAATGACTGAGAACCCAATGACTACTAAATCCCAGCTTGCTGATCACAGAGTGAAACCTTATCACTTTAAGGGATTGAATGAGCATCAGAAGGCTGCAATCTTATATGAAAGAGATTAATAAATTGCAGGCAAGGAGCAACAGAGACAGCTTGAAAAGGAATAAGAATAGATGTGGGCTCTTTAATAAGAACATCTCAGGAGAATGCAGGTGCTTTCAGATAGAGATTAGAAGAGAAAGCAAAGAGAGGTTGCTGAGAACACCAAGCAAACTCACGTGCAGCAGATGCAAGAACACATGCAAAAATGGAAAGACCCTTATGGAGAGAAAGGATTTTTAGAAAAACAGTGAATAAGATAATCTTCCCTAGCTAGCAAAGCATGTGACTAGACATTTATACGCTTATTTTAACTTAAGAATTTTAAAAGCAGATAAAAGTTATCTTGATAATTTCTCTATTATTCAATTATTTTCCAAAATTTACTTATATATTTAGAACTATTCACATCATTCACACAAAGCCATATTCCTTAGACTAAGAATTGTTAAGAACTACACTGAACTTTTTTGTGTTAAAGGCTCTTGACAATGGCATCAAGGGTATCAGCAGGTTTGTATCTGCTTAGAAAATAGATGGCCTACTGAAGTAGCAGTTCTCGAATTCCTTTACATGTTCAGAATTGAGCTTTAGTTAGTAAATAGCTTCCGCCTTACTTTACTTTTCATTAGCTTTAATTTAGTCAACTACTTTTGTCTGTAATAAATAAATCAACCCTCTTTATATATTCAACTGCTTTTCCATTATACTTAGCCTCATTTAGGCAAAGATCTCTTTCTATACTAGTTTACCTTAAAGCTTATTACAATAGACACTTAGATTTTTAATCTATGTTTTAAACTTTGGTTTCTTTAAAGTAATTTCAGAGTTCTGTCGTCTGAACTTATCAAATACTTGCTTTATCTGATTAAGTTTTTACTGCTACTACAATGATAAGATGGATAGACTTTCACTCTTGATAGACAGAACTGATGTCTCTCTGATCTTAAATTGATGACCGTCAATCGGTTCCTCTTTCTTTACTGGTCTAGTATTGTCTGACTTGGTTAGATACTTCTCAAAACTCTTGACTCTGTTGTGCATTGGCTATCTCACAATCTGGCAAGGCCTATCTTCTTTTTCACTCATGATAATCTCGCTCTTTCTCTTTTCTACTGGCTTCATAGGTTTTACAAAGGTATTAAGGTATCTTTGATTCTGCTGAAACTGTGTCTTCTTGTTGCTATTCTTAGCGCTCTTCGAATAGTATTTATTATCTTCCTGGCTTACTTCCTGTGTCTTCTAAGAAAGAGTTTTCATTCTCAGCCCTTCAAAGAAGTTTACATTCGATTTATTAGAAAGCACAGGTGTACAAGGACCTGACTCAGGAACAAAAAATTGCTAGTCATTAGCGATTTGCTTATGATTTACTAGCTTTGTCACTGGTGGCAAATTTTTAGGCTAGAGTCGCTAGTATTGCTGAGGCTACTAATCAGCAAAAGCCTAAGAAGATTTTGAGTCTCTTCCTTAACTACTCATCAAAGCTTGATCATTCAGCTTGAACATAGAGGGGTAGATGTGATTGTGGACTTCTCGAAGTCTTTGCTCATCGTGGCATTCATGTTCTAATTTCATGAATTCTGTAAGTTCTTATTTTGACAAATCCACCTTCTTCAAGCTTGTTCTCTCAGTGAATTATTCGCCTCCATTAAGAAGTCTTGAGACGAACAAATCATTATAGTCTTGCTTATTAGTTTGGTAAAGCAAGCTATCATCTGGGTGAATCCCAAGTTGATAGGTCTCTATGCTTCTAAATTCCTGATTCTGCACTACCTTATCACAAGACTCAGCATGAGAGCTGCTCACCATACTTTTCACTTGCTAGTGATAACCTTTTTAGCAGATGCTATTGTTCTTTTTGAAAAATGTACCAAAGGACTGTATTTATGTTGGCTGTTGTTTGTTAAACGTTATCAAAGGATTGAAAAGAATTCCATCTGATGATTCATTTGTAATATTTTAATTTAGATGGTAAGAGCCTTTATTGATAGTGCTTTTATTGGAATTCTAAGGTGGAGACTTGAGAACTTTCAAAGCCATATTGATATTATCTTCAAACTTGTTATTAGAAAAGTTATTTGGATGATCTCTGTTGTCAGTCATCGACATCTACTTTGGGTTAAATATTTCTGGAGACCTGTTGAAATCATTAATTAATGCAGTGTTATTCTTTAACGTTGATTGCAGAGTCAGTCTCCTATCATTGAGATTGATGAAAGCTTATTCGTCTTGAGTCTTAGTTGCTACTTTAGGCAATCTAATTGGATTCTGGTTCTCCTTCACATCATCATCTATTTTGTATATTTTCTGCTGTATAAAATAATGGTCAGTTTTATGATGACTCATAGGGATGTTTGGGGTTTGCTGAGTAGTATTTTTTGCAGATTAATTTCCCTCGAACTTGATGGGAGTCATTGAAGTGAATTAAGACTATTCTAACGACTGACCATAAATTTGATTACTACTGCCTTACGTATTGGTATAGGCAATACCTGTGTTCAGGTTTTATTAAGATCCCACTCTAGAATGCTATACATCAGTGCTTATCATGACATTATAAATTGCCTTCGCTTTTTCCTTAATATGATTAAATAGGAATTTAAGACTTTCAAATTGGTTTTAACTGATGATGTGATGACCAGCATTTTGACTGACAAACTTAGCGATGTCCATAAACATCTAAAGAAATTAATTGAAGTCTATTTGAAATTATTGCTGAACCTATGCCTGTTTCTATCCTCTAAGTAGCATTTAAGAGGTGAATTTAGGGCTCTTCTCACTTCCTTAAACATCTTCAATAAGTTTCTGTAATTCCTTATTCGACATCAAATCCTATTAATATTCAATGATAATGTTATATTACTGGGAATATTTGAAGGTTTTTACATATTTTGAGAAGATCTTTAATCTACAATTACTTTTAAGTGTTATAAGTATTTTTAGGAGACTTTTATTGCTGCTGAGCTTGATGCATAACTTATGCTTGAGATGGAAATAGAGTGTGTTTTTAAAAGATTTTATATAACTTTAGCTTGTTCAAAGTTATCAATTGCAGAGCGTCTAAGTGTGAAGAGTTGAGGTGCCCTGACATTGTTTAATTATGATTCTTCTTTTGACTTTGTTCATTTAACTAAATAGTCTCGGCAAGTTATGAATTGGGACTTCGAACCAGTGTCGTATTTGAGGCTTTATACTAATTAAAGTTTGTCAGTCTCACATGCTAAGGACCACTAATGACCTATTGCTTGAAAGTCTTGAAGGAATTGGAAGAATTTTTAGTCAAAGACATTAAATACAATTTTGAATTATTAAATTTAACTGGAGAATCAAATTCACCTAATTAAAATTATTTATTTCATAAATTATAACCATACTATAATCACGGGGTTTTGGGGTTTTGGGGCTATTTTATAAA